TGGGGATTCGAACCCGCCACCTTAGGTGTACGTGGCTGGCGCCTTAGCCAGTTGAGCTATAGGAGCCGAGCCCATGGTCCTATCTCTTATGGGCCTATTCAGAATACCTAATGAGGAAGCGGTATGATGAGCCTGGATTTCCTTGGGGTTAGGAGTATCTCCAGCCTCTATATCTTCCTGACAAATCCTTAGAAGACTTGCGTGAAGCTGGGAAATATGGTCAGGGGAATGCAGGCTTAGAATGGCTGGTATAGGCTGACTACTATAGGCCTTTGGGAAAAGCACCAGCTTTCCTTCTTAACTATACTTTTAGAATGTAATTGAGCAAGAGTAGCCACCATTGTAAACGCAGTATTTGTGGTTAGTATATAGTCCAGTCCAGGGCTAGGGGTTCTGGATACAAGTTTAGGACCAAACTCTTGTCAGAGAGCGATTTTTTACCTGGAGTGTTTGCCTCTGAGTATCCTCTCTGACAGTATGGTGGGGCTAGCCAATGACTCTAATGTTCTGGCTCCAAATCAAATATCTTTCCATGTTTCTACATCTAGGAAACAAGGACTCCTCAGATTTTTTATTTTTTTTTTTACTTCTGGTTTCATTCAGTTGATAGCTTACAGAAATGTAGGGAATTGGGCAGTTAAATACCATAAAAATTTTATGCTCTATATACTCTTTTCTGCTTTTAGAGAATGGGATGTACATCGATCTGTTTGAACTTATTACTATGGTGTTTTAACAGATGGTATTGACTTCTGTTACACAAACTGGATTATGTAGGAGGTTTAACACGAAGACTTTTATAAAGTAAAAATCGAGTTTTGACCATTTCAAGTTAGTCATATATGCCTTAACCCCCAAATATGTGCACTTCATTCTACATGAATCATACAAAAGAAGAGGACAGCAAGGTTTCCATCCTCTAGGAAGTTTGAGTCTAATTATGAGGCAAAAGTAACATATGAAATGACTAGAGAACCCAGTCACCATGTTATTATGAAATTAGGTACCAGCTTGTGATTTAAACTGTTAATGTTCTAAGAATTCTGAGAAGAATGATATTTGCATTTATTATTCTCCCATTTCCGTCTGGTGTGTAGCATATGTTTTGAATTTTTGTTTTCTAGGTACGGGGGCATCCTGCATCTATCCCTTACTTGGAGCAACCTTAAACGGCTGGTATTTCCTTGCAACAGAAGTGGATGACATGTGTTTCAACTATGCAAAGAAAAACGTGGAGCAGAATAACTTATCTGATCTCATCAAAGGTTAGCTCCACAGAATAAATTTCTTCTTCAAGCTTTGTTTATTAACCTGTCTTTCTAATTTAACACATCTTATTATCTTGTCTTTAATAATGCAGACTTTGGGTTTCTTGTTTTTTTTCTTTTTTAAGAGGCAGAGTCTCACTTTGTTGCCCTTGGTAGAGTGCCATGGCATCATAGTTCACAGCAACCTCCAGCTCTTGGGCTTAGGTTATTCTCTTGCCTCAGCCTCCCAAGTAGCTGGGACTACAGGCCCCTGCCATAATGCCCGGCTATTTTTTTGTTGGAGTTTGACTTGGGCTGGGTTCGAACCCACCACCCTCAGTATGTAGCCTGCACCCTACTCACTGAGCCACAGGCGCCACCCGACTTTGGGAATTTTTAAGAATCCGGGGCTCGGCGCCTATAGCTCAACCGGCTAAGGCGCCAGCCACGTACACCTAAGGTGGCAGGTTCGAATCCCCAGCCCAGACCCGCCAAACAACAATGACGGCTGCAACCAAAAAATAGCCGGGCGTTGTGGCGGGCGCCTGTGGTCCCAGCTACTTGGGAGGCAGAGGCAGGAGACTCGCTTGAGCCCAGGAGTTGGAGGTTGCTGTGAGCTGTGACACCATGGCACTGTACCAAAGGCGGCACACTGAAATGAGGTTTGCTGTTTTGATACCAGAATTAACTCAGAAAGAAAATAATAGGGCAGTGCCTTTGGCTCAGTGAGTAGGGCGCCGGCCCCATATACCGAGGGTGGCGGGTTCAAACCCGGCCCCAGCCAGACTGCAACAAAAAAAACAGTGGCGGGCGCCTGTAGTCCCAGCTACTCGGGAGGCTGAGGCAAGAGAATCGCTTAAGCCCAGGAGTTAGAGGTTGCTGTGAGCTGTGATGCCATGGCACTCTATCAAAGGCGACAAAGTAAGACTCTGTCTCTACAAAAAAAAATAATAATAATAATATTAATAATTAGAATTGATCCACATTATTTGAGGATTCTGTGTTGGTGAATTTGCCCACTTGCTGACATTTCTTTATTGTTCATTGATCTTAGTAGATTTTCTTGAATAAATGTTCATTTGCTATGCCCTTAGGACCATTTCCAGAGACTTTAAGTAGTTGTTTTTGTATATTTGTATATTTTAGTAGACTATTTTTTAGGGCAGTTTTAGGTTCACAGCAAAGTTGAGGGGAAGGCTCACCAATTTCTTATATATACCCCTGCTTGCACAAATTCATAGCCTCCCCCACTGTCAGTGTCTCCCACCAAATTGGGACATTGGTTACAATTGATGAACATACATTAACACATTATCACCCCGCAAGGTCCATAGCTTACATTAGGGTTTTCTCTTGGTTTTGTACATTCTGTGGCTTTGGGCAAATGAAAATGACATGTGTTTACCATTATACACAAATAGTTATAGAATGGTTTCGCTGTCCTGAAAATCCTCTATGCTCCAGCTGTTCACTCTTTACTTCCCTCAACCCCTGGCAGCGTCTGATCCTTTTACTCTTTCTATAGTTTTGCATTTTCCAGGGTGTCATGTAGTTGGAATCATATAGTATATACCCTTTTCAGACTGGCTTCTGTTTTTTTTTTGGCCGGGGCTGGGTTTGAACCCACCACCCTCAGTATATGGAGCCAGTGCCCTACTCACTGAGCCACAGGCATTGCCCAAGAGATAGGGTCTTGCTCTGTTGCCTAAGATAGAGGTCAGTGGCATCATCTCCTCAGACTTGTGACCTCAAGTGATCCTCTTGCCATAGTCTCCAAGAGTGCTAGGATTACGCTGAGAGCCACTGCACATGACCCTCTACATATAAACTTTACTATCAGTTTGTCAATAGTTAAAATTTATTTTTAACCCCAAAATCAATATTCATGGTGCTTTTATGATCATTCACAGACATCTGCAGAGTGGCAAATAATTTGAGTCACCCAATGTGCTTATTCCCAGCTATGGTTGAACAAGGTGATACTCTGCCTTCTCTTGCTCCTTTTTTTTTTTTTTAATGAGATAGTCTCCTGTTGCCCACAATAGCCTACCTCACAGCAACTGCCACCTCAAACTCCTGGTTTCAAGTGATCCTCCTGCCTCGGCCTCCTGAGTAGTTGAGACTGTAGTCATCCACAATACCCAGCTAACTTTTGTATTTTAGTAGAGACAGCATCTCAATCTTGCTCAGGCTAGTCTCGAGCTCTTGTGCTCAAGCGAGCCTCCCTCATTCTTCTTCTAGGAGTTTTCATGATCTCCAAGAGTGCTAGGATTATAGGTGTGAGCCACCATGCCTGGCCTTTTTATTTTAGTTCTTACACTGTGAATCAGTCAGCATCCTTTTTCTGGTTTTTGTGCTGTGTTTTTTGCATTTTTGCATTTTTTATTGATGATTTTGCTGTTTAAAATGGTCCCTAAACACAGTGTAAAGTGGTACCTAGTATTCCTAAGTGCAATGAGGCTGTGATCAGTGCCTTATAGAGAAAATACATGTGTTAGATAAACTTCATTAAGACATGGATTATAGTGCTGTTGGTCACCAATGTTAATGAATGAGCGATGTGTATTAAATAAGACGTCTTAGTGGGGTGCAGTGGCTCATTCCCGTAATCCTAGCACTCTGAGAGGCCCAAGGCAGGAGGATTGCTTGAGCTTAGGAGTTTGAGGCCAGTCTGAGCAAGAGTGAGACCCCATTTCTACTAAAAATTGAAAAAGTTAGCCAGGCATCGCTCAGGCATCAGTAGTCCCGACTACTCAGGAGGCTGAGACAGGAGGATCACTTGAACCCAGGAGTTTGAGGTTGCTGTGAGCAAGGCTGAGGCCAGGGCACTCTGGCCTGGGCAACAGAGTGAGACTTTGTTGCAAAAAGCAAACAAGCAGAGAAACCCTATGTCTTTAAATAGAAACACACACAGAAGGTTGTGCATCTCATCACATGAAGTAACCTAGTCACCAAGATTTTAAAATAAAGGAGCCAGATGTAGTAGCTCATGCCTGCCTGTAGTTCCAGCACTTTGGAAGGCCAAAGTGGGAATATCATTGGAGCCCAGGAATTTAAGACCAGCCTTGGTAACATAGCAAGACTGGTTTGTACTAAAAATTTTTTAAAAGTTAGCAGAGTGGGGCAGCGCCTGTATGTAGCTCAGTGAGTAGGGCACCGACCCCATATACAGAGGGTGGCGGGTTCAAACCTGGCTGCCGCCAAACTGCAACCAAAAAAATAGCTGGACATTGTGGCAGGCACCTGTAGTCCTAGCTACTTGGGAGGCTGAGGCAAGAGAATTGCTTAAACCCAGGATTTGGAGGTTGCTGTGAGCTGTGACACCATGGCACTGTACCAAGGGCGACATAGTGAGACTCTGTCTCTACAAAAAAAAAAAGTTAGCACAGTGTGGTGGTATATGCCTGTAGTCCCAGCTACTCAGGAGGCTGAAGGGGGAGGATTGCCTTACTCCAGCCTGGGCGTCAGAGCGAGACATTGTTTTTAAAAAAAGGAAGAAGGGAAACCCTACTGTTGATTAACCATGTTTTTACATTTTAGTATATGGAACTTCTGTTAGAAATAGTCAAATACCCTTATGATTAGTTACTTTTTACTTTTGTGTCCATTTTATGTAGTACATCTGAAGTACTATTAATTTTTTTCATTGAATTTTTTTGTCTTTTTATGAAAGAAATAAGGCTTTTTTTTTTAGTATGAAACCGATGTAAAGGGAGATACCAATACATTTGTTTTATATCTCCATTTTTGTGTAACAGATGTCTCCAAAGTATAGCAGCTTTAACAGTAAACAGTTGTTATCTCATGATTTCTATGGGTCAGAAATTTGGGTGTGGATTAGTTAGATGGTTCTGTTAGAATTTTTTAACAGTTTGTAGTAAAGGACCTGGTGCGGTGTCTCATGCCTGTAATCCTAGCTCTCTGGGAGGCTGAGGGGTGTGGATTGCTTGAGTTTGCTGAGTTGGAGACCAGCCTGAGCCAGAGTGAGAACCCGTCTATAAAAACTTAACTGGATGTTGTGGCAGGCGCCTGTAGTCCCAGCTATTTGGGAGGCTGAGACAAGAGGATCACTTGAGCCTAAGAGTTTGAGATTGCTATGAGCTTTGATGCCCTGAGACTTGGTCTCAACAGCAAAAAAATAAATAAATAAAATTTGTAGTCAAGTTGTTGATTAGAGCTGAAGTCATCTGAAGGATTGACTGGTAATAGAGATTTGTGTCCAAGGTGGCTCACTTACATGGTTACTGGAAGGAAATCCTAGTTCGTTGCCATGTGGATGTGTGTCTACTTGTGAGCTACTTGTGTGTCCTTAAAGCATGTCAGTTGACCTTGCCTCTCCTAGAGTGAGTAATTCAGGAGAAAGGGTGAAGAGATAGCCATATTGCTTCTTATGACTTGACTTTGGAAGTGCCACCCTGTCACTTACATTATTTTCTCTTCTACAAAGTTGAGTCATTAAGTGCAGCCTACACTCAAGGAGAGGAAAGTAAACTCCACCTTTTGAAGGAAGTAGTAGACACACAGTCATGCATTACTTAATGACAGGGATAAATTCTGAGAAATGTCATTAGGCGATTTGTCACCGTGGGAACATTGTAGAGTGTACATACATAAACCTAGATGGTATCACCTGCCAAACACCTATGTTGCCTGATGTAGCTTATTGCTTCTAGGCTAGAAACCTGCATAGCATCTTGTTATACTGAATATTGTATACGATACTGTAAACAATTTTAACACAGTTGTTAATATTTGTGTATCTAAACATAGAAAAGGTATAGTCAAACTATGATATTTTATGGGACCACTGTCATATATCTCATCCATTTTCTTTGTTTTTTTTCTTTCTTTTGAGATGAGATCTCACTTTGTTGCCCAGACTAGAGTGCAGTGGTATGATCACAGCTCACTGCAGCCTCAAATTCCTACACTGCTATGACCTAGGAGTATCAAATCTCACCTCAGCCTCCTGAATAACTGGGACTACAGACATGAGCCACCACACCCATCTAATTAGAAAAAAAGTTTTTTAGAGAGGGGGACTTGCTGTGTTTCCTAGGCTTGTCTCAAACTCCTGGCCTCAAGTGATGATCCCAACTCTGCTTCCCAAGTTACTGGATTACAGGCAGGAGCCACTGCACCCAGTGTTCTGGTCCATTGTTGACTAAAACATCATGATGCAGAACATGACTATGTTTTAATACCACCACAACATTAATAGTAGCTAACAGTTCTGTTTTTTCTCCTAGTGGTAAAAGTGCCACAGAAGACACTCCTGATGGATGCTCTCAAAGAAGAATCTGAGATAATCTATGACTTTTGTATGTGTAATCCTCCCTTTTTTGCCAATCAGTTGGAAGCTAAGGTAAAATGTCTTCTGCTTTAAAGTAATTGAACACTTACCTAAGTTTTTCTTGTTTGTAGAAATAAGAGGAAAGAGCAACTTTTATTTTCTTGAGATAGGGTCTTGCTTTGTTGCCCAGCTGGGCCTCAAGCATTTATCACACCTCAGCTTCCCAGGTAGCTGGGACTACAGTGCAGGCTACTGTACCTGGCTTTGGAAGTTCTATCAGTCAGGATATTTTGGTTTGAGGTACATTTGGCACTTTGTATCTGTGGATTTTATATCTGCAGGTTCTGCCCGTGGATTCCACCAACCACAGATCAAAAATATTTGGGGAAGGAAGAAAATAATAAAAAATAGCACGACAATAAAAAATACCAATAAAGGCTCAGCGGTTGTAGCACGGTGGTTACGGCGCCAGCCACATGCACTAAGGCTGGCAGGTTCGAACCCAGCCTGGGCCAGCTAAACAATGACAACTACAACAAAAAAAAAAAGCCAGACATTGTGTTGGGTGCCTGTGGACCCAGCTACTTGGGAGGCTGAGGCAAGAGAATTGCTTAAGCCCAAGAGTTTGAGGTTGCTGTGAGTTGTGATGTTACAGCACTCTACAGAGAGCAACATAGTAAAACCATCTCAAAAAAAAAAAAAACTACAGAGAGTGACAGTAAGACTGTCTCAAAAAAAAAAAAAAAACATAAAAAGCAATATAGTGAAAAAAAAAGCAATACAATGTCACAGCTATTTGCATAACATTTACATTGTATTAGGTATTAGAAATAATCTAGACATGATTTAAGTATATAGGAGGATGCGGGTAGGTTTTGGGATTGTCCACCCTTTTTTCTTCTGTGCCTTACTTTGGAAGATGAAGAGTTGTCGTTGGGCACATATTAAACACACAAACACACTAATGAAAGCTGTTGAGCAAAAAAACAGCCCGTGCATAATTTTGCAAAATTTGACACTACTGATAGAAACTCCAATTCACAAGACATGAAACTATAAAAATACTAGAAGACAGTGTAGGGAAAACTCTTGAAGAAATCGGCCTGGGCGAATATTTTGTGAGGAGGACCCCCCTGGGCAATTGAAGCAGTATCAAAAATACACTACTGGGACCTGATCAAACTAAAAAGCTTCTGCACGACCAAGAACACAGTAAGTAAAGGAAGCAGACAGCCCTCAGAATGGGAGAAGATATTTGCAGGTTATGTCTCCGACAAAGGTTTAATAACCAGAACCCACAGAGAACTCAAACATTTTAGCAAGAAAAGAACAAGTGGCTCGGCACCTATGGCTCAACCGGCTAAGGCGCCAGCCACGTACACCTAAGGTGGCGGGTTCGAATCCCCAGCCCGGACCCGCCAAACATGACCAGGAGTTGGAGGTTGCTGTGAGCTGTAATGCCACAGCACTCTACCCAGGGGGATAGCTTGAGGCTCTGTCTCAAAAAAAAAAGAAAAGAACAAGTGATCCCATCTCAGGGTGGACAAGGGACTTGAAGAGAAACTTCTCTGAAGAGGATAGGCACACAGCCTACAGACACCATGAAAAAATGCTCATCATCCTTAATCATCAGAGAAGTGCAAATCAAAACTACTTTGAGATATCATCTAACTGCAGTAAGATTAGCCCACATCACAAATCCCAAAACCAGAGATGTTGGCATGGATGTATAGAAAAGAGAACACTTCTCCATTGCTGGTGGGAGTGCAAATTAATACGTTCCTTTTGGAAAGATATTTGGAGAACATTTAGAGATCTAAAAATAGACCTGCCATTCAATCCTACAATTCCTCTACTAGGTATATATCCAGAAGATCAAAAATCACATTATAACAAAGATATATGTACCAGAATGTTTACTGCAGTCCAATTCATAATTGCTAAGTCATGGAAGAAGCCCAAGTGCCCATCAACTCACGAATGGATCAATAAATTGTGGTATATGTACACCATGGAATATTATGCAGCCTTAAAGAAAGGCGAAGACATGACCTCTTACATGTTTACAAGGATGGAGCTGGAACATATTCTTCTTAGCACAGTATCTCAAGAATGGAAAAAAAAGTACCCAATGTACCCAGTCTTACTATAAAACCAATTTATAGCTTTCTTATGAAAGCTATAACCCAATTAAAGCCCAAGAAAGGGGTGAGAGAAGGGAGGGGGAAGGAGATGGGTGGAGGTGTGGGACCCATCTATCGTGCATCTTACAAGGGTACATGTGCAATTTACTAGGTGTAGAATATAAATGCCTTAACACAATAACTAAGAAAATGCTGCGAAGGCTATGGGGGGGGGGGAACCCTCCAATTCACATTTACTTAACAACAACAAAAAAAACCTTTTGGCTTACATATCTGAGAAATCTAGAATTTGGACTTCAGGAATGATTTGATCAGGGTGTTCACAGTATTAAAAACCCTCCATTTTCTCCTGGCTCTGACCTGGTCCTTGGTTGTTTTTGTTCTAAGGCTGTTTTATTTGCGGCATAATAATGTTTAGGAGGAGAGCGCTCTTTCTCAAATCATTGAATATTTGGTTTTCTCCTGATCAGACCAATTTAAGTCATAGTTCACTCCTGGGCTACAATTGCTGGCTTAGGAAGGAAATCAGTTTTTACTGCCTGCTGTCATTTGATAGTAAATAAATGTCTGATTTAGTCTTTCCAACTTCAAATGAAAAATATTTTGTTCATGAATATGAATAGAGATGCATTGGGTAAAAAGAACCTATTAAAAATCTCAGTGCTGGCTCGGTGCCTATGGCTCAAGTGGCTAAGGTGCCAGCCACATAAGCCTGAGCTGGCGGGTTTAAATCCAGCCTGGGCCCACCAAACAGCAATGACGGCTGCAACCCCCCCCCAAAAAATAGCCAGGTGTTGTGGCAGGCACTGTAGTCCCAGCTACTTGGGAGGCGAAGGCAGGAGAATCGCTTGAGTCTAGGAGTTGGAGGTTGCTGTGACCTGTGATGCTGTGGCACTCTACCCAGGACAACAGCTTGAGGCTCTGTCTCAAAAAAAAACAAAACAAAACTCAGTGCTGTATAATGTTACTGACTTAACCTAACATTTCCTTCAGCTAGTGAACCATTTATTAATAGTAATAAATGAGTAATATTAATCATAAGGAAATAAGGGTATAAATATGCTTAAAACTTTTCAGGGAATGTATTATCTTTAGTATCCCTAAAAGTACCATTTACATGCCTCATAACAAAATTTAGATGGGTTAAATGTTTTGGTGGAACAGGGTGGTTTACACAAAAAAGTTGTTAACAGGCCAGGTGCTGGGGCTCATGCCTGTAATCCTAGCACTCTGGGAGGCTCAGGTGGGTGAATTGCTTGAGCTCACGGGTTCAAGACCAGCCTGAGGAAAAGTGAGACCCCATCTCTATTAAAAATAGAATAACTGAGGCAAGAGGATCACTTGAGCCTGAGCTGGAGGTTGCTGTGAGCTATGACTCCATGGCACTCTACCTAGTGTGACAGCTTGAGACTCTGTCTCAAAAAAAAAAAAGTTATTAACAATACCAACTTTCTGGATTGGAACATAAAGTGAAGCAAGGTTTAAGAAGTCTAAATTTTAGGCTTCAATACAGACAACTTGTATGAACTAAAAATAACCACACCCTGGAGTGCAATTGTTCTTTTAATATTGAGATACAACATACATACATAAAAGCACACAGGTCGGCTCGGCGCCTATAGCTCAACCGGCTAAGGCGCCAGCCACGTACACCTAAGGTGGCGGGTTCGAATCCCCAGCCCGGACCCGCCAAACAACAATGATGGCTGCAACCAAAAAATAGCCGGGCGTTGTGGCGGGCGCCTGTGGTCCCAGCTACTTGGGAGGCAGAGGCAGGAGACTCGCTTGAGCCCAGGAGTTGGAGGTTGCTGTGAGCGTGATGCCATGGCACTTTGCCCAGGGGGATAGCTTGAGGCTCTGTCTCAAAAAAAAAAAAAAAAAAAAGCACACAGGTCACAAATTTAGACTGGATTTTCTAAAGTGAACACTCCTGTGGAGCCAGTGTCCAAAGGAAGAAATAGAAAACTACTAGCATCAGAACTAAGTTCACAATGTTGTGTAGCCCTGATCACAGCCAATTTTAGGATATTTTTATTACCCCGTAAGGAAAACTCCTAGCTGTCTGCAATCACTCAGTTTCTCCTCAGCATCCTTAGGCCTAGGCAACTGCCAGTCTACTTTGTTTCTCCAGATTGGCCTGTTTTACACATTTCATATAAATGGAATTTTGTAATGCTTTTTAATGTGACTGACAATCTTTTACTAAGAACTATATATTTTTAAGATCCATCCAAGTTGTAGCACGTGTCCGCACTTCATTTCTTTCTCCTGTCAAATAACGTTCTATTGTATGGATATGTCACATTTTACTTATTCACCCATTGATAGACGTCGGGTAGTTTCTACTTTGGGGCTCTTATGAACAAATGCTGCTGTGAGCATTTCTTTACAAGTATTTCTGTGGATGTAGGTTTTCTTTTCTCCTGGGTAGATATACATTTCTGCTGGGTAATATGGTTTAATTGTTTAAATGTTTAATTGTTTGAGGAACTGCCAGACTGTTTTCCAAAGTGACTGTGCCATTTTACATTCGCCCCAGCAGCAGTTTATGAGAGTTCCAATTTTCTGCATCTTCTTCAACACTTATCATTCTTTTTGATTATAGCCATCTAGTGGGTGTGAGGTAGAACCTCTTTGTAGTTTTGTGTTATTATTTTTATATTTTATGTTAGTATTTCCCTAACGGTGGATGATGTTGAGCATCTTTTCTTGTGCTTACTGATCGTCTGTATGTCTTAAAGACATGCCTATTTAGATCCTTTGACTTTTTTTCTTTTCTTTTTTTTTTTTTTTTTTTTTTTGAGACAGAGTCTCACTGTGTCACCCTCAGTAGAGTAGTAGCCTGGCGTCACAGCTCACAGCAGCCTCAAATTCTTGGGCTTAAACCTTTGACCATTTTTTAAGTGGGTTACTTTTTTTATAATTAAGTTGTAACAATGCTTTATATATCCTGGGTACAAGTCCCTTAATAGATATGTTTTGCAAACATTTTCTACAATTCTGTGGATTGTCTCTTCACTTTTTTTCTTTTTTTTTGAGACAGATTCTTACTATGTTGCTCTTGGTAGAGTGCTGTGGCGTCACTGCTCACAGCAACCCCAAACTCTTGGGCTTAAGCTATTTTTTTGCCTCAGCCTCCCAAGCAGCTGGGACTACAAGCTCCTACCACAACGCCTGGCTATTTTTGTTGTTGTTGTTGCAGTTGTCATTGTTGTTTTAGCAGGCTAAGCCGGGTTTGAACCCACCAGCCTCGGTGTATATGGACAGCACCCTACCCACTGAGCTACAGGCGCCACTGTAGGTAGATTTTCTATGCTTCATAAAACCAAAGCATAAAGTATAAAGAAAAAGGAACAAATTTTACCTATATAAAAAGATAAAATTTTTGGTTTAATGACAAAGATGAAAAGGAAAAGACTTAGGAAGGAATATTGGTCTGACCAATTGTTTAAAATATATTGTAGTAGCTATGTGGTTTTTAAATCCTAAATTTGGTATAATATTTGGAAAGTAAAATTAAATGTAAGCATTCTTTCTCCTAAGAGTTAATAGAGTTTTTTGGGTTGTTGTTTCTTTTTTCTTTCTTTTTTGAGACAGAGGCTCACTTGGTTACTCTCAGTAGAGTGCCATGTGTCTTAGCTCATAGCAACCTCAAACTTTTGGGCTCAAGTGATTCTCTTGCCTCAGCCTCCCAAGTAGCTGGGACTACAGGTGCCTGCCACAACACCTGGCCATTTTCAGAGACAGGGGCTTGCTCTGACTCAGGCTGGTCTTAAACTTGGGAGCTCCAGCAATCCACCTGCCTTGGCCTCTCAAGTGCTGGGATTATAGGCATGAGCCACCATGCCCAGCTGTGATCTTTTTTAAAAATTTCAAAATATTATGGGGGTACAAATGTTTTGGTTACATGAATTGCTTTTGTGCAGTTTGAGTCAAAGCTGTGTTTGCCACTTACCTGGATAGAGTGCATTGTATCCATTGGGTGATTAAACTCTCTCCCCTCCTACCCTCTCACACCTGCTTGTTTTCTGTTAATCAAAATTGGTGTTGATCTGTTAGTTCCAATTTAATAGTAAGTATGTATGGTGTTGGTTTTCCATTTTCGCGAAACTTCACTTAAAAAATGGTCTACATGGCTCAGCGCCTGTGGCTCAAGTGACTACGATGCCAGCCACATATACCTAAGGTGGCGGGTTCGAATCCAGCCCAGGCCCACCAAACAACAATGACGGCTGCAACCAAAAAATGACCAGACTTTGTGGCGGGCACCTGTGGTCCCAGCTACTTGAGAGGTGGAGGCAGGAGACTTACTTAAGCCCAGGAGTTGGAGGTTGCTGTGAGCTGTGATGCCCCAGCCCTCTACCCAGGGAATCACTTGAGGCTCTGTCTCAAAAAAAAAAAAAAAAAAAAAAAAAATGGTCTCCAGTACCATGTAGATTGTTAACAGAAGGTATTAGTTCACTTTTTTTTGGTGACTGAGTAGTACTCCATGGTATACATTTTCCACATTTTATTAATCCACTCATATATCGATGGGCACTTGGGTTGGTTCTGTATCTTTACAATCGTGAATTGTGCTGCAATAAACATTTGAGTGCACATGTCTCTTTGGCAAAATGGTGTTTTTTTCTTTGGGTAGATACCCAATACTGGGATTGCTAGATCACATACTAGGTCTACTTTTAGTTTTTTTAGCTATCTCCATACACCTTTTTAAAGAGTATATTCAAAGATTTGATTCTTAAGGTATAAAGATTTTTCACCAGATTTTTGTTGTTTTTCAGGGAGTAAATTCTCGAAATCCTCGAAGACCTCCACCTAGTTCTGTAAATACAGGAGGTATCACAGAGATCATGGCAGAAGGAGGTGAATTAGAGTTTGTTAAAAGGATTATTCATGATAGTTTACAACTTAAAAAAAGATTAAGGTAAGTTGGTTATTACAACATAGAAATATCTACCCCCTTTGTAATTCTAAAAGAAACCGTGTCTCTCAGAGGAAACGTATCATACAGTAGTTTGAAGAACAGACAGACAAAGATGGCAAAGGTGGTAGATCTTACAATCTGCAAAGATCCTATTTCTGAGGATGCTCTCATGCCTTTAATTGATTTGTGTTTCCTGTGACCATCTCTACTACACAGATAGAAAAGAGGAAAATAACTTATGATTATATTGCTCCCATTAGTATGGTCTTGTGATGGAACAAAACTGATTCAAATATGGCTTTTGATTAGAAAACAGATGGGTTCAGATATGTCTCATGAACCATAATAAATTTGTTGCCTACTCCTTAGAGCGATTTATGTTCTTGAAATCAGTCTGCCAAACAATGACAGATGTGAAGACATTGAGCTGTCAAGAACTTAATGAAGGAAAACAGATCACTAACCAGTTGTAGAGGAAGGGTTGGCCATTCCTTTTAAAAGCTAATTATTTTGGACAACACACCTGTCATTAAGCAGCATAAGGTACTCAAAAACAGCTATTTGTCTCGCTTGACTCTTAACCCTGCCACATGTTGTTGAAGTGATGGATAATGTGGTAGTTTAAAACTAAAGGAGCTTTCAACCCTAGGATTTAGCTTTGGGACATACGGAAGATTTTTTTTTTTTTATTGCAGCAAATACACAAAACACAAAATTTACCTGAGTTTTTTAAGTGTACAGTTCAGTAAATAGTGTTAAGTACATTCACATTGTCATATCCCCAGTCTCCAGAACTCTTCATTTTGTAAAACTTTAACTTTATTCCATTAAACAACTCCCCCTTTCCCCTTTCCCCTAGTCTGTGGCAGCCACCATTCTGCTTTCTGTCTCTATAAATGTAAGTAGTCTGGGTACTTCGTATAACTGATTTCATACGGTACTTGTCCTTTTGTGAGTGGCTTATTTCACTTAGCATAAGGTTTTCAAGTTTCATCCGTGTTGTACCATGTATCAGAATTTCCTTCCTTTTTAAAGCTGAATAATACTAATAACCACATTGTGTTCATCTGTTCACCCATTGATGGACACCTCGGTTGCTTCTAGGCTTTGGTTATTGTGAAGAATGCTGTATGAATGTGGATGTATAAATATCTCTTCAAGACCCTGCTGTTAGGTCTTTTGGTGGAATTCCTGGACAGGGAACATTGTCTTCCCTTCTCTTTTAGATTTATAGGTGTTTGTAGCTACTTGTTTTAGTAAAAGGCTAATTCCAAAATCAAGTATCCTTGTTTGTTAAATGTTAGTGTATTTAGTGGAAAGCAGCTTAATTATTGATGTTCTGCCTCTCAGAAAAGTTACACATTGGTAAAGCCAAAGGTTAATGTATTTTGCTTTAAATTGATTTTTTTTTTATTGAGACAGAGCCTCATTTTGTCACCCTCAATAGAGTGTGGTGGCGTCACAGCTCACAGCAACCTCAGACTCTTAGGCTCAAGTGATTCTCTTGCCTCATCCTCACAAGTAACTGGGACTACAGGTGCCCGCCACAATGCCTGGCAGTTATTGGAGACGAGGTCTCACTCAGGCTGGTCTCAAACTCCTGAGCTCAAACATCCACCCACCTGAGCCTCCCTGAGAGCTAGGATTACAGGCATGAGCCACCGCACCTGGCCCTAAATTGATTTTTTCAATGACACAGAATGTCTTGAAGAAGAAAGAGACTAAAATTATACTGAGCTTTGAGAAGAGTCTGATAAGTAAAATAAACTTTCTTGTAACAGCACTGAAACTCAAGAAAAGCAAAGGGCAAGGTACTGTGGCTAACACCTATGATCCTAGCACTCTGAGAGGCTAAGGCAGGTGGATTGCTTGAGTTCAGGAATTCAAGTCCAGCCTGAGCGAGAGCAAGACCCCGTCTCTAAAAATAGCTAGGTATTGTGGCGGATGCCTGTAGTCCCAGCTACTGGTGAGGCTGAGGCAAGAGGACCACTTAAGCACAAGAGTTTGAGGTTGCTGTGAGTTGTGATGCCATGACACTCTACTGAGGGCGACAAAGTGAGACTCTGGAGGAAGAAAAAAGTGGTAACCAGCCATGAGACCATTTCATTATATACTGGCTGTTGTGGGAACTATAGTCGGCTCTTCTAGGGCTATAGTATTCTTGAAGTTGTTTTTAGGAGGCGTTTAAAAAGTAAAATTCTGTCTTGGCACCTGTAGCTCAGTGGTTAGAGTGCCAGCCACATACACCGGGGCTGGCATGTTCAAACCCTGCCTGGCCCTGCTAAAACAACAATGACAACAAAAATAGCCGGGTATTGGTGGTAGGCACCTGTAGTCCTGGCTACTTGGGAGACTGAGGCAAGAGAATCACTTAAGCCCAAGAGTTTGAGGTTCCTATGAGCTGTGATGCCATGGCACTCTACCAAGGAAGACATAGTGAGACTCTGTCTCAAAAATAAATAAAATTTGGCTCGGCGCCTGTGGCTCAAGTGGCTAAGGCACCAGCCACATACACCTAAGGTGGCAGGTTTGAATCCAGCCCAGG